TGAATAGTTTTATACAATTTTTATAGGCGTGGCATTCGATTCCACTCGCCGTGCGAACAGGTTTAGCTTTTAATTGAGGCAGCAGTATCTTTTTTGCATCTTGAGGTACGGCGGCATAATATCTACCAAACGTGGTGAACTTTCTAAGCCGTACTTACATGATTTACGTGATTTCATTCGATTTATATCAACGTCTGCACGTTGATAAAGCAGTCACTTTGGCGAGATTGGAGGAAGAATACCAGTCGAAGTTTTGGGGTCGTGTAGAATGGTCACACGATCTAAATCAACAAGAATCACAAGCACGTTTAGCCGCCGCAGTTTTATTCGTACATCTTAATAGGTCCGAGTATTTTGTGAAGGGTGAATAATTTTCGTTTTTCTTTTTGCAAAAGGATCATGCTGAATTTGCATAATTCTGTCACACTTCAAAGTGGGTGCATAATGATGATATGCAATCACACTACAATCTATGTATTAACAATAAATCAACTCTACCTAATAAGCGTGTCTAACTTAGTAGTATCTAAATTAACTTTTAATTCGGCCAGACGATATTGAAAATAGTTCGGATCGTATCACTTGTTCCTTCCCACATAACGCCTTACTTTGAGCAGTCATTAAAACAGTGCAATTTGTCAACAAAAATCTCTTAGCAAACGTTTTTTGGCGTTCTAATTTGGTATGACAACTTTAAATTGGATGGGCAATTTGTTGCATTTTTGTCACATGACCATTTCGATGAAAACTGAATCTTTAGACCGTTAAAAGAGGTAATCCTCAATCATTTTTGATGAAAATTCGTTCATAAAGAACATTTGATATAAAAATAAACCTTATCGGATTTGGACCACGAAAGTCTATTTTTCGGATCTCAATCTCTATAAGGTTTCCAATGAAAACTAAGGTTTTATATTCAAAAGAGGTTTATTTTTTAATATTTTATGATGAATATTTATCCTTAGTAAATCAACCATAAGAAATCTATGTTACATAAATCTATTCTTTGGACTACATTATATGCATGTACCTCGGTTCTCATGACGACAAAGCTTACTTCGTGGCTTGTCATGAAAATAATAAACTCTTTGAGATGTGATTTAAGTTTACCAAATTTAGATCACATTGAAGCTCCAGCGCCCTCCACTAACAGAGCTTTCATAAAAATTATGAATTTTAAGTAAGTGAAGTGTCGTAGAGTACTTAAAGATCAGCCATTCCCGACTACAGCATACTTAGTTTTTCATAATTTATAATAATGTTAAATTGAACTTTATTTTTAAGAATTTACTTTATTCAGCAGCTACTTTATAGGTGCTAAATTGCAAATGTAAATAAATATATAAATAATAATAAATAAGGCGGACAGGATAAACGCCAATTTATGCTAATTCAGAATATGTATATTTTAACGAGCGTACTGCATTTTTGTAGTTATCTATATGCAGATTCTTCCATGGCTGACATAAAAAAGTATGAAGCACGAAACTTGCATTAGCTTTGTCATAACTTTTTAACTTCCCTAAATACTAACAGAAAGTAGGTGAACGGCAAGAAAGGGTTACGTAGCATAATTTACCGCTAATCAAACTTACATCAGATGTGACGACAATTAGTTCATATTTTTATAAAAAGTTGCCTTACTATTCCTATTTGTGAAACTGTGAATCTAATGAAGTAGAAATTTTGGGAACTTTAACAATTTGAGTTCTTTGTAAAAAAAGTCGGAAGCGAATAGTTTGTTGTTGTACAATGTTGTGGTGAGTCGTGCGAAATAGACACGATGAAATTTCAAACCGTAAAAAAGCATAGGCGCTAAATTCGAATACTCTCTCTCCACACCTCCATTTGGAGGCTGCATTTGCGAAATATCAGGAAAGCCATTGATGGTTGATTCTCCAGCAAAATTCTTGGCATCCCATTTCAAACTCTGTCTAGAAATTCTCGAAGAACTGAATTAGAATGCGCTGTTACGCAATCCACAACAATATAAGACGACTGTGGCAATGGAAGAACAAGAAAGAAAACTACGTTAGGTTGTGTCTGAATCTTTTATACTATTGACGGACGGGGTTTCTGTCTTTTCCATTTTGTGTACACATACTTTTCGATCACCCATCACCGAAGTATGAAGGGTATACTCATTTTGTTAAAACGTTTGCAGCGCCCAAAAGAAAGCATCAGAAACCTTACAAAGTATATATATATTCTTGATCTGCATCAAATTCTCTCAAATTTAAGCATGCCCACCTGTCCGTCTGTGTATTTACTGTTGTAGACGTTCTCCTGGAGGCAAAAAGGAAGCTGTCAACTTCAAACTCGTCAGAAGCGTTGAGAGTTCTTGCACGCAGGTTGGTATTGAAAACGGATTAAATCGGCTGGAGGACACGCCTACAGTACTACGTAAAGTGAGAACACCTCTGCTGTCTTTCAAAAACAATGAAAAATTCCATCTGCCTCTCATTCAACTCATACCAGGCTCGATATGACTTTAGCAATTCTGCCAGTACGTAGTTTTGAGATTAGAGCTCCGAGCTTTTGTGAAAATAGTGTGCACCATCATTCTTCAAAAATTTCGGCACATCTATGAATCATATTTAGATCGTCCAAGCCAATATACATTTGTTTTTCTGTTCCGTACCGATCACTTCGTGTCGAAGCCTTTTATTTCTTTCTTTCTATTTACTGCGTAAAATGTTATACTTCCCTCTTTCGCTGGTGAGTATAGAAATTTTATTTTATTTTATATCTCCTCACAGATAATGGCGAATACAAATGTCATAGTAGGTGGCACTAGCTTACTTTTCGATATGGTTGAACTGCCTAAAGAACGACTCATAAGACGGATAATATTCTCATTCCAGGACTTACTTGGTAATAAAAACGAACTTCAAATTGAAGGCATAAACTATTAATGAAAAATTTTTAAACAGTGTCACTTGGAAGTACTGCCGGTCTTTTTTTGGGCTTCAGTGTCATGTCGTTAGCGGAATTTCTCTATTACTTTGTCTTAAAAACTATAAACCTTCTAAAAAGATACTAAGGAACAACAATCAACAACGACAACCGACGTTGAACAATTCAGTTTTCACACAATTTTCGATTAGAAAGCACTTTTTCTCATAAAAAAAATTATTTTTACTATATTGTTTAAATTAACGCATAAGGCAAATGGAAATGGAGAAGGTGGACAGCTACGAATGAAATGTGAAAAATGGAAAAAGAAGATATGGTATATTGAACTATAAGGCAACGCATACTTAAATTTTTCAAATATTTACTTCCAATCGAGTCATTCGCCATTTTTTGAAAAAATCGCTGTCAAGCGACTTTACCCGCTTTATTGGCCATGGCACGAAACGCCAATGTTTCATAGTTGAATTGCGATTTATTAAAACTAATTTTTCAAATTACTGCATTAAAACGTATTATATTAAAGCTAATTTCAAATAATGGAACAACGAATAAAAATCAGTAACGGTCTTCGATAGTGAGATAGTTTTTTAGTTTTTTAGACATGTGTATGTATTCTATATATCACTTTTAGTATCACTTTTTTATTTTAATGTCACCAATCTTTCAGGGGATGCCACGTAGAGAAAAGCCCCGTTGCCGATGTTTGACGGTTCACCATCGAAACACAAGAAATCTCGTGAGCGGTCGTTAAGTGTTAAGAGTTAAGATTCTGAAAAAGATACAGATAGCTGGCGCCTGCAGCCTAGTGGATGTGTGCCTAATCGAATAATGTTATGCCTTTACCAACTAACTCACTTTAGCAACGAACAAAGAAAAGTTTACCGCATTTGAGATTTGAACACGTTGGAGACGCTGACCACCAAGTGGCGGTTCTTATATGTCCAGCTACTCTGGCGTATATATTCTCAATAATTCGAAAAATGTGAGAATAAGCGTCCACATTTGTTTAGATTTGTTGAATAATTGTTCAAGTATTTGTATAAAAATTGCGCGCATACGAGAGTAAGCGTATAAAATTGAAAATGATTCTCAATAATTCAATAATAGTTGTGTTGAAAATGTACAAAAATCTTTGGATGGAATGGGATTAGTAGATATCGATCGTAACGAAGGACGCGTTATTGTACATACCGTGGCGCCTTGGTCAAGAATACAAGAGAAAATTGAAAACACCGGACGTAAAGCGGTATTAGCGGGCTTTGGCGGACAATCTGCTGTTTCAATTATAAATAACACTGGCAGTGATGTAGATCATACTAGCATTCAACGAGTTGTACGATTCACAGCCATAACCAACGATCAACCAGGTGTAGTAGTAGATGGGGTAATAGATGGCTTATAAGTTTTGATCTCAGGTTTCATGAATGGCGATGTTGCTGCTTTACAGATCGCACATAAATAAGTTGGAATATTTGTTTAATACAGTGCTTTGTGAATTTGTCTCAAAATTTCTTTGCAATGTTATCACAAAGAACAGCATTATTCTGGGAACAACGTAAAATCGTTAAATTCCACTCATCTTCAGCAGGCTCAAAAGTCGTCATAAGTTCTGTATTCTATTGGCAACGGAACTCTCTATGGAATGTACATAACAATGGAAAGTTCTTCACAAAATGTTCAAGTGTTTAATTGCTCACATATTCAGAAAATTTTAACGTTCGTTCTGGCGAATGACGGATTTGATAAATCAGCATTAGATTGAACTGCTAATTAAAAACGACTGATGTCTCAATACAACTTCAAAAGAAAGAAACGCACACTACATAGTGCACTTTGCTTTTCCCTTGCTGCAGTTTCTCTTCTATTTCTTGCAAATACTCCACTTTAAAAATGCCTCTATGCTCTATTTTCATCGTCTGTGACAATAAAATGCAAAATTACATCAGGAAGTTCAAGCCAATATTATCAAGCTAAATTTTAGTCTAAGCAATAATTTTGTACCATTTTTAATTTAATTGAGATCCACATTATTGGATTGATATTTATTTCTGTTAAATCGAGCTAATTCCACTTGAAAGCTATTGTTTCTATACATTTTACAGCTGTTTTCCTTTCTAATTCAACTGGCACGCGTTCTCTCTATGCTTGAAATTTTTTTTGAATTACTCTCAGATGTTTTAAATTTATAATCGGTTTTTCAATGCAACAGCTGTTAGCAAATTCAGACTGACTCTTTGAATTATTCTCAATTTCAAACATATACAGACTGACTTTTGCAATTATTCTTTTTTTTTTTTTTTTTTTTTTGTTTGTTTGTTTAGAAATGGATTGGACCAGTTAAGTTAATGTTAGATCCATAATCCAGAAACGAAGTTGAGAGCGATTGATGAAAAAATTTAAGCATAGGTAGACTGATGTGGCAGAGTGTTCGCAATGAGAGGCTCTGTTCCGCTGTCAATCCATAAATCACCGTCCTTGTTACTGTACTGTCAAGATCCGGCTAATAATGCCGATAAAAGTAAAAGTGTAGGCGATTCGTGATTGTAATAGAAATACTAAATGTAAAATTAGAATGAAAACTCAGCTGATTTGATAAAGGCAGTCAGTTGCTTCAAATGCCTAAAGTTACCAGCACGAAAAATTTCATATAAATTGTTATACAGGTTAAATATATTGAAAGATTGTCTAAGGATGTCAAACCTCCTGCACTCAAAAATAAGGTGCTCGGCGGTCTCAGTAATATTGCAATCCTCACAGATGTCAGAGGAGGAGATTTGATCATTTTAAAATAGACCTTGTCGTAGGTGTGATTACTCATAAGACGGTGAAGAACTTTAAATTCCCATGTTGTGAATTTTCCTTTAGGTAGACGCGTGGGTGTCAAAAAAGGGTAAATTTTTTAGAACAGCCGGTCACTTTTTTCTCTAGCTAAAACATGATACTCATCTTTCCATTCTTTTATCATGAGTTTTTTGACTAGCAGAAAAGCTTCGCTGGGGGGGTAGTTTATGGACAAAACTGTACCATCGAACCTAGCTTGACGAGCGTGGAAGTCAGCTTTTTCATTGATACTAAAACCGCAGTGACCTGGGATCCAGATGATGTGGCATTTTTCAATACTTGGGTCTTTTAAAAGGTTGTAGATATCGAAGACATACTTATTGAATGGGTCTTTGTTCTTGATTAAAATTAGAGCAGATTTGCTGTCAGAGAAAACTACAAATTTTCTTAGCTTAATTTCAGATGCATGGATGATTGCTTGTCTGATGGCCAGAAGTTCAATGAAAGTGGATGATAGTTCTTGTAGAACTTTGAATTTTCCTATAAGTAAGTTTGGGTATTCAATAATTGAAAAACTAGAGATGTCCGAATTGATAGATCCATCCGTTGCGTATATTTTGAAGTTATTTTCGACGAAGTGGTTAAGTTTTTGCAGACAAGCGATTCGAAGACAAGACCACGATCGATTTTTTTTTGAGTTGGTGATCGAATTAAGTAAGTTTAAATCAACTACCCATTTATCATGATTAATATTATTCCAGGAGGGTATTGAGTTAACATTATTGAAGATGTTACTGAATTTTTTGAAGCAGTTAGAGTAACTACTGATGACATGATTGTGTCTGGAAGCGACCTCGTCAAAGAAGGCAGGTTTGAAGATTTTTACCTTGAGAAGTTCTTTTGCAGTTACAAGATAAATTCTCTTAGCAACGGGGAGTTCATAAGAGATGGGACGTAAAATTGATGTTGGTGTTGAGGGGGACAAACCGGTACAACGTCTTAGGATTGAGTGTTGAAAGGTTTGTATTTTTTTTAATGTATACGCAGGAGCGTTACACGATGTAGAGTAGGGATATTCAATTTTGGATCTAACAATAGATTTGTAAACGTTTAATATGGGGGTTTAGGTGGGAGTCCGGTGTGATTGTTGGTCAGAAGTTTGATTACATTTGAGCCTGTGTTGCAATTTTCAAGGCTATCCTTGTAATGCTCTTGCGCGATTAAACTTGAGTTGATTATTCTGCCCAAAAATTTAAAAAAGGAAGACGGACTGATTTTTATACCATTGATTGTAATGTAACAAATTTTTTTGGGACCCTTAGCAAAGCGAATGACTTTTGATTTTTCCGGGTTGAAAGTTAGATTTAAGTCTGCACAAAGTTTGTGAAAAAGATTGGCTTTAGTGTCGAGGTTACGGACTGCTTCCATTAATGATTTTCCAGCAGAGATGATGGGGAAATCGTCGGCATATTGAAATAAATGAATAGATTTGTCCTGTAATTGATGTAAACCGGCTGTGTATAAATTGAAGAGAACTGGGCTGAGACAGCTACCTTGAGGTAAACCTCCACAAACTTCGACTGTATATGAATCTAATACGAGAGTTCTCGAGGAAAGAAAGTTGAGAACCCAATGCCTACTTTGTGTCGGGATTTTAAAGCCAGATAGAATTTGACCCAGTTTCGCTAAGTTTACACAGTCGTAAGCTTTATTAATGTCTAAGCAAAGCATGACTACCTGGTTTCCATTTGCTTTTTCATTTGCAATTGTGAAAAGGACTTCATTAAGGCACATACCGGTGGAGATATTTTTTTGGTAAGCAAAGGACCTTGACGGGAGAAGGTGTGAGTGACTCAGGAAATTTGTTAGTCTTTCTTTAATCATTTGGTTGGTAATTTTTAGAAGAACAGGCAAGAGGGATATGGGTCTGAAGTTAGTGAATATTTCAAGATCTTTTCCGGGTTTAGGAATGGGCACTATTTTAATTGTACGCCAAACATTGGGAAACGAGTTGGTCATCCAGCGCTCATTTATAGCAGATAGCAGGGTTAGAAGGCTTGGCATGGGAAGGACATTTATCATTTCATATTTGATTCCGTCATGGCCTGCTGCTGTGGACTTCTTTTTCGACTTAAGGACGTGCATGAGTTCATCAAGGGAGAATGCAGAGATGTTTTCCATCCGAGAGTTAAGTAAGGAGGTTTGGAGACCACATGTCGAGGGAACTTGAGCTTTCAGCCATTCAAGGTAGGATTTGTTGTTGAGATCATCCCAAATGGTGTTTGTATTTCTTTTTTGTGGTGCGATGACCATTTAAAAATTTCCAGAATGGCTTTGTATTGCTATTTGAGCATAGCTCTCCGATAATAAGGGCTCGGTGGCATCTTTTGGCTTTTCTAATCGATTTCTTCCATTCTTTTTGTGATAACTTGAAATCCTCAAAATTAGAAATATTGGGGTATTTGGAAAATTTTTGTTTAGCAGCCTGTAATCTACGGAATTGTGAAGTGAGCAGCTCGTTCCACCAAGGTTTTGGTGAGTAGGAATTCGAGATTTGGATGTCGGATTTGGCGTTAATTATTTCTTGTTGAAATGAGCGCTGGATAGACTCGACCTGTGGCTCAAGACATACGTGAATGAGATTATTTAGGAGTTTTTTCCTCGAGATAAAGTCATTTATCTTGTACGAGGTAATAGAGGTGGCATTAAAGAGAATAGGAAGGTGGTGGCTGTTTCCCAGGAAAATTTTTTTTTAACCTCTCATTTGAATGTGAGATGGGTTGCGTTAGTGAAAGTAAGATCAAACACGCTACCACAATTGTTGGTCGTAGAGTGAAAATAGGTAGGTGAATTATCATTCACACAATAGAAGTCACTAGCTTTAATGATTTCTTGCAAGGCTTTGCCTTTATTGTTTGACACGGAGTCACCAAAGCAAGGGTGTCTTGCATTGAAATCTCCTGCAATTATGACATTGTGGAAACTATTGAGCATATCGCAGAGACGATTAAAGTCATCCCGGAAAGATTGAATGGGGATGTTGGGCTTGGAATAGCAAGCGGCAATGACGATATTAGGTTTTAGACAAGAGGTTTTAGCAGAGCCTGACGGAAGGAATGAAGTAGTCAACTGGAATATTGCAATAGTTGAATTTTATATTCTTTGGAATTAGTTTACCCTTGAAACCAATCTTTAGACTGTTTGTTGGGATGAACATTTCTCTGTCTGCAGGGTCTCTTCTGAGGATTCTTGTAACAGAAATGATTTCAATATCAGAGGTAGCTGAGTTGAGAAAGTCCTCTTCCTTAATTGAAGGTGGAATGTTTTCTACGATCCCAAATTTTTCTGTGAAAATTCTAGGGATGTAGGCCTTGCAAGACTTTGGACCAAAATCATTGTTTATTATAAAGTTTTTGGCTCAACCGCAGTGGCAAAACCAAGTTTGGCTTTGCCATTGCTTTGGTTTTGATATTAATCAAACCATCCAATTTGAGATCTTTGATGTGTTCGAAAAAAAATAAATCTGAGTTAAGGCGAAAAGGTTTCTCTAGGTTATTGTTACATACTTCAATGCATACGTAGCACTCACCGGTCGTGTCATCACTGTAACGATTTGGACTA